TCCATTTTTTGACATCTGAGTCTTTCCCAGCTTTCTTTCTCAAGCATACCTGGAGACTTGCCCTACTCTAATGAGATGCTGACCCAGTCGTGCCTCCTTGCCCAGTCCCTCAATACCAAAGAAGGCACCGCAGAGTCTGTGGGCTTAGGCACAGGCATGAGGGGTCCCTCCCTCACCTCTCTCTGTGACTCATTTTTTTCTGTTTCACTTTTCCCTCCCATAGTGCCAGTGACAGACCCAATGTCTCAGACACAGTACTAGATAAATGTTCTACCACTGAGCCACATCCCCAGAGCACTCTCTCTCTCTCTCTCTCTCTCAGTATGTGTGTATGTGTGTTATACTGGCCTTCAACTTTCACTCCTCCTGCCTCAGCCTCCTGGGTGCCAGATTATAGCCACCATGCCGTGCTAGCGCCCTGACTCACTTCTGCCCAGGGTGGCCTGGCCATTACACCCCAAGGAGAGGGCCGCACTCGGCTGAGGTCCTGCCTTCTGCTGTCCCTGGAGACTCTGTTCCCGTTTTGCCAACTATTTTGCTTCCTTGGCCATCTGTTCCCTCCCTGTCATCTCCTCTCTGCTTTAACCTTCGCCACTACTTCCCTGCAGATGGTACCGAACAGACCCGTTCTTGACATCCTTCATGATGCCTGCTCCCTCCCTCCCTCTCTCATCTCCTTGGCACAAACCACTCTGGCCTTCCTCAGGCCCCATCCCAAAGATATGTCTAGAGCTCGGAGGCAGATTTACCCACAGGCTCCCCCTATTTGGGTCCCATCTGTTTGCAACTCTGCCTTGGGTCAAGAGGCCAAACACCTACCCCTCCATGACTTTTCCTAATGAGACTCCCTCTATGAGATTCAGCCAAGAACCTCTCCTGGCTCTAGGCGCATATCCGCTATGATTCTCTCCATAGTAAAGGGCTAAGGGACAGAGGGTGAATCAGAGCCCAGAAGATCTGGGGCTCATTCCTACAGTGAAGCAACAGTATCTGAACTGGGAGTTTTGGGTCCTAAACAATTTCCCTATAGAAAGTGGACTTAAAGGCTTGGTACCAAGGAACTAACCCTAAGCCGTCATGACAAGAACTGGATCAAAGACGCTGTCTTTGATCAAACACCTTGTCCAAGCTCACTGCTGTACTTACCTCACTTACTGCTGGGTATGGTGGCACTTAACTCAGCATTTGCGGAGGCAGAGGCAAGGAGATCTCTGTGAGTTCAAGGCCAGCCTGGTCTACATAGTGAGTTTTAGGACAGCCAGGGCTACACAGAGAAACCTGTCCGAAAACAACACGACAGGAAACAGAAACCCCACACCTTCCTTCCAGCTGCAGAGGAGACCATGCCTTAGTGATGTGACTTAGCAGCTTCCTCTACCTTTCCTCTCTGCTGGAGTGTCCCTAGAATGTCTCCTCTTAGCTTTTCTGGAAAAAGGACCAAGAGCTATGAGGAGAGGCACAGTCCCTGAGAGGCCAATGGCGAGGGAGCATTTTGGTGAAGTTGGTTCCACCAGACTGCATCCCTAGATTGGGACAGAAACAGATTGGAGACATTGAAATTCTCTGGATTTGGACTAAAAAAAGCCAAATATCCCAGTTCTTTCTAGAAAAGATCTCATATTTCCCCTTCACATCCTTCCCACAGCACAAAGGAATGCCTTGGCCAGCCATGAAACACTTTCTTCTTTCCTTTGGGGCTGAGAAGACCCATTGCCACTATTCTGGGTCCTCAGCATTCTCAGAGAGATGTAGCGATGGAGCTGATCACATTTACCCTGGGGAGGCTCTCACGTCACTAAGGGAACTCTGTGGACCCCAGCAGCCACCTGACAGCACCACACTATTTCCTTCCCTGCTCCCCTTTCTTCCTGAGAGGAGAAGCCCACTCAGCTACCCAGCTAGCCCATCTAGATATGGACACCATGAGAACACAGTGCATCTTACTGGGTTGCAGGCCTTAATCTAGCACTTGCTGAATTATTTAGGGATGGCATTAACTTATAAATGAGTGTGTTTGACTGATTTTGTGGTTGATGTACAGATAAATTCTAATGAAAGACAGCTACACGATTTTAAATTATTAATTAGACTGCCACTTAACAAAGCCTATTTGGCACTCTATTTCCTTGCTTAACAAGACAAAAACTTTAAGGAAAGGGCTCTGTATTAGCCCAGAGGCTCCTGATTTGCATTCTGTTTTTATAGCTCTAAAAATGAAAACCATAGATCCTGACCTCAAGCAGGCAACCCTGGCACAGCAGAACCCCCAGCAGGCCGTCCTTCCTTACTGGAGAACGCTGGATGGCTCGAGGCCTTGTCTGCCCTGATGCCTCTCATCTCCCTTGACCAGAGGCTTGCTTTTTATCTCCCTGGTTCTGTCAGTGCAGGCTATGAGCTGGAAGCACTGGCAGAGCAGATGCCGAAACCTTCAGATACCAGCACTCTAAGCAGCTAGATTTCACTCCAGAGGTGGTGGCCAGTGGAATCCCTTTATGAAGAGATAAAGATATCTTCTCCCCTAAACCCCCAAAAGACATGACAGAAATAGCTTTACTAGGACACTCAGAAATCAGAGAGATGACTCCCATGGTTTAGGGTTTATTCTTTCCTTTTCCTCTAGGAAGAGTACTTTTTTCTTCTTTCAAACCGCCTTCCAAATGATAAACTATTAAGCTCACCCAGCCCCGGAACCCCATGTAGGGTTCTGCACCAGCTAGGAGCTATCTTCTCAAGCCAACCTGTACACCTTGCTGTTTGGAGCCCTTGGGAAACAGTCTACAAACAGAAACTTCAATGGCCACCTCCCTTGGTATTAGCCCGAGGCATAATTTGGCTTTCAGCACACACCTAGAATCCACACAAAGAATCTGAGCATCTTCCACAGGCGAGCAGAAAAGACAAATCCATGGTATCGCATCAGCGCTCCCAAAAGAAAATTGCCCAGGAAAGGACCAAAACAAAAGTCATTTGCTCACAGTGTCCCAGGAGTAGGCTCCAGGCCACCCACACCCCGCCCAGCCTTGGCAAGGGCTGCTATGCTCTGTTTCCCTCAAGCCAACCCAGGTGTGAACCTCAATTCATGGTCTCTCTCTAGCCAACCTCTTTTGTGCAAGAAGGGAGAACCAGCCCAAGTGGTGAGCACACGTGACTACCAAGCCTCCAGTGGCCATCTCTTGGGCAGGGAAAGGGTCCTTCTCCCAGGGAACATCCCCCAGAATGCACTGGACTTCTGGTTAGCAAGGATTCCAGAGAGCTCCTGGAAGCTGCTAGAGCCTCCCCCGGCACCTAAAGCACATAACTAAGGTGTGTGGGCTGCTTTGTGGCTCTTTCTTAATTGTAAACTGCCAAAAGACAAAAGACCAAAAGGCAAAGGAGATGTCAGTTCTTCCCCATTATCTCCATCACAGACCTGCAGCCCAGACATGGCAGCCTTTTCAAAACTGCCTGGGAACCTTCCCCACCAGAGCGAGTCCACATGCTCCGTGCCCAGGCTTCTCAGACTCTCCAGCTCTGTAAAAATCACCTTCCTTCTGCAGACACTGGGCCTGCACCCCAGCACTGCCGAGTGCTGAAATGACTTTCTGTGTCTTTCTGCAGGAAAAGGAACTGGGGTGTGAGACAGTGAAGCAGTTCCTCTAACTACTGCAGAGACTTGCCCCACACCACAGCAAAAGGCGGTATGTCTCCCCCCTCCACACGGGGCCGACCCACGTGGAGGGCACAAGTCACAAGTTTGGGATTGTTCTTACAAGGTGAGGCAAGCAAGCCTGCACGGTTGCCCTAGGCTAGACCACCACTCAACCTCTCCTGCTCGCACCGAAGGCGTGGCTTCCTCACGCACCTGTGTGACCTGCTTATCTGGGTCTCTCCTATCCCCCCGTGTCTGCTTCTCCGCCCATCCCCGGGCTGCGCTCCCGTAGCCTACCTCCGCTACCTCCCCCTGCCCGTTTTCTCCTTCCCCATCCTGCTGTGAGGTCAGAATCTTGTGCTTACGACACCTCGGTCTGTTGCCATGGAAACAGGGGCGGATTAAGGCTGGAGCGCGGAGCGCAGGGATCAGGCCCCTCCGCTACCTGAGCTCCCGCCTCAGCTGGCTCCCGCAGGGCGGGAGCAGCCAGCGCCGGGCTCCGCCGCTCGGCGGCAGCCGGGCGGAGGCGAGGGACGGGGGTCCCAGCGGGGCGCCACAAGCGGCCTCCGGGGGCCGCGGAGGGGGTGGGGCGGAGGGCAGCGAGTCCGCGGGCTCACGCGTGGTCACCTGCCCTTTCTGGGCCCGAGGGACAGCACCCCGCACGGCAGCCACGTGGGGGCGCGGCAGGGCTTCCCCGGCCCCCGAGCCAACTTTGCCGCGCTCCTGCTGCCCGGGAGCCCGGGCGAGGTGGTCGCCCGTCCAGTTGAGCCGGCGCGGCCTCGGCGACCGCTCCCTCCGCCCCGGGCGCGGAGAAAGTTTGCGGCCCGGGACCTGCGCCGCCCGCCGCTCCCCGCCCTCGGTCGCTGAGTGCTCGGGGCCCGGCCCCGGGGCTGAGGCTGGGGTGCCGGGAGGGTGCCCGCGTCCGGGCGCGCCTCCCGAGTTAGAACCCGTGCTGGGCGCCGGGGCCGCCGCACCGGGGCGCGGGCTGGGCCGGGGGCCGGAGCGGCAGGAGCAGGGGCGGGTGCCCGCGCGGGGTTGCAGCCCGCGACTGCAAAACTTTGTAATGGCGGAGCAAAGGTCCCAGGAGGCCGGCTCGCTTTTCTAGCAGCGGCTTCTCACTGCGCTCTCCGCGCCCTCGAGACAGGTCCCCGGGGCCGGGCCCCTCGGTCCACGCACAAACCCCGCGTCTCGCAACAGGCCCCCACCGGGAGCTCGGCACCAGCAGCAGGCGCGCGGCGGGCGCCCGCGACAACAGCCAGCCGGCCGGCGGGGGCTGCCTCCGGACCACTTCCCCCGCGCCCGACGGCGCCCCGCGCCGGCGGCTCCGCCCGGGTCCGCGCAACTCCAACTTGCCCCCGCGGCTCCAACTCACCTTTGCGAAGCATGTTGGCCGCGGGGCCGCCGCTCCGAGGTCGGCCTAGGCGCGCTCCCTCCTGGGGTCCAGATTCAAATCCCTGGGCGCCAGCTGCAGCTAATCCGAGCGCGTCGAGGCGGGGGCAAGCCGGGGATCCGCTCGTGCCCGGCGGCCGGCTCGCGCAGGGGCATGGTGAGCCCAAGCCCGGCGCCCGGGGCACCGGCGCCCGCCGGCCACCGCCGCGCCGCCGGCCAGCCCGGTGCGCTCGCTCAGCCCTGTGGCGAGCGGCCGGCTCCACCGAGCCCGCGGCCTGATTCCGCCGCCCCGAGCACTTTGCGGGCGGTTTTGAGGGGGGACGCCGCCCCCCGGCCGGCCGGCCGCTGGCCCCTCTTCCCCGCCCCCTCGGGCGGCTGCAGAAGGGCGCCCGCTCGCGCAGCCCGGCTCCGGCGAGAGCGCCCGGCGCGCGTTTGCAGGACCGAGCGAGAGCCGCCGAGCGGGGCGCCTCCCTTCCTCCCCCCGGCTTCCCCCACCTCTCTTCCTCCTCCCGCCCTCCCTCGCTCTCCAGCTCCCTCCCTCCCTCCCGCTCCCCGCCCCCGCTCACGGAGCGCCTCCCATACAAAATTTATGAAAGTGCTCTCAGCTCGCGGTGCCGAGCGCCGTCCTAATCCCAGGGCAGCGGCGCTCGGCCGCGCGGCGCCGCCTCCCAAGGTGTTTGCGCTGCGCCTGCCCCCGGGGACGGTCCTCTGCCCGCGTCCGTCCAAGTACCTGGCCCAGCCCTCGGCGTGTCGTCGGGCCACGGGATCGCCCTCCCCAGCCCCGCAGGCTTCTCGGAACGCGCACCCGCAGCCCAGCCCCCGCCTCCTCGCCCTTCGCGGCTGGAGGTCACCGAGAGACGCGGCTGGAAGCGCGTACCCGCCCCGAGCCTTGATCTCAAGTCAGACGCCCTTGCCCGGTCTCTCCCCGACCCGCGCCCCTTCCTCCTGCGAGGCTCGACGGCTCTTCCCTGCCCAGGACCGCTCCGGCGAAACAGCCGTCCCCCCAAACCCGTGTCCCAAGACACTGTTCTTTCGGGGAGATGTGCGGGACGGCTAGCATTCGGGGATGTGCAGTTGAAAATCCTATAAAGAACTAGTGCGAGTTCCGGTGGGCTGTCTTCGGGTGGAAGGCCGCCGATCCCTACCGGACCTACACAGACCCCGCCTGTGAGAGGGTTCTCCGACAGGGAGGAGGCACGGCCTGGAAAGCGGGTCCTGCAGGGGCCTTCGGGCCAAGTGCAGAGAAGGTTCAGGCCAGCAACGATCCTAGGTGGAGAAGGACACCCCCTACTGGTCTGGGAGAAGAAGGACTCCGAACGAGGAAAAAAAAAGACTGCCAGGTCGCTCGCTGAACACATTTAAGAGTTATGGGTTACACTATGTGGAAACTCAGGCCGTGAAGAAAAGGTCCCTGTCCTTTTGAAGTTTATATTCCAATAGGACCGAACGAGAAAAGTCCAGAAGATTGTAAGTGCCTGGAAGAAAGACAAGTAGGGTGTTGCTCTGGAGCTGATCCGGGGCGGGAGTTGGGGTGGAAGTAGAGCTGATTTGACAGCGGCCGTCTAAGCAGAGACCTAAGCTCTCTGTGGAGCAAACCTGTCGTGCCAGGAAAATCAAAAGCAAGGCCACCATCATCCATGCACTCATACAGGCCCTCGGCACCCCAAGACTCCCTGGTTTGAGCTCAGCATAGATGCGTCAGAAGTGTATAAAATGGAGAAGGGAGATCCACAAATTATGTCCACATGGAGCAGAGGTTACAAGGCCCAGGAAGGGTTGGCCAGCACGCAGCACGAGGGCGTGACGGAGGAGCAGAAAAGGTGCCCTTGAAGTCTGGGTTCAACAGGTTGACAGGACAGGACACCCAGGAAGGACAGAAGCAAATGTTTGAAGATCCGAAGTAGCTTTATTTAGAATGGTCTGAAGCTTGGCCCCTCTAGGGTTGGGAACACAAAGTGAGGTATTCCTTCTCTTAGTTCCTGCCAGATGCAGGACTCCGCTGACCTGCACCACCTGATCCCCGCCAGACTCAACTCTAGGCCAGAGCTGTGGGGACGCTCCCTGAAGCCAAGGCCCAGAGAGGTTAACCGGCTTTCTCAACAGCACCCAGTAATCAGTGATAAAGTGTGGGCCTGAACGAGGGTGTGCTGTTCCTTCTCCCACCTTCCCAAGCCGCCTCCCCATAACCCCCTTGCCCCACAAACTTCAAACTACTGGGTGAAGTTGGGCGGCGTGAGTGTGAGGAGCAGTTATTTTGAGACTTAGGAGGGCTGGATGTTTACTTGGCATTCAGCCAGGGGATGGGGGTGGCTGTAGGTGGGTGCTGTGGTGTAATGGGGGAGGGGGCACACTGAGCCTGTCTTCTCATCAGGCAGTAATTACTCAGACTGCTGCTGAGTAACCCAGGAAGGGGGACCCCCACGGACAGATGGATGTGCCCTCGGCCCAAGCTGAATGGCAGCTACCATTTCCCTGTGCAGCAAGGTGTGAGGGACCCAGTCAGGACAGCTTTGAGCAGCAGTTTTCCTCGGTACCACCTGGCTTCCTAATGGGGGCAGGCTGCTCATCTGTGACAGAAGCTATATAGTAATGTCAGCAGAAGGGGCATACCTCTGACCAGGTAAAGGCCCTAAGGGATGAGGCAGCTGCTGGGGGAAAAGCCACTGTGCCATTGGTGCTGCTCTTCCATGCAACTTGAAGATAAAGCCAGGCCAGGAGCTGTCCACAGGCAGACTAGGTTCTGGTGTGCTGATGGGCTCCTGGGGTGCAGACCCAAGAGGTGGGGGTGTCCAGAGAAACAGAGACCTGGGGAGCCCGAGCCGGACTCAGGGTGAAAGGCTGTTCTGTGATGAGCCAGGATTGTTCTATTCCAGGCCAAGCCATACCTGTCTTAAGGTTGCAAAGACCGAGGGACATTGACCCTTTCCATCCTCCCCTAGGCTGCTCACTCCCAGCCTGCTAGAGCTCTCTCCCCAGAGCAGCCTCCCAGGCAAGGCCTGTCCCTGGCTGCTTGTTTTTTCACATCTCTCTGCACCTTAATTAGGGGTTTCCAAGCTGGGAGGGCCTCCAGGGGAGCCTGAGGCCACAGAGCTGTGCTCACCACTGCAGGCAGAGGAGATGGGAGTGAGGGCGTCACCCAGAGTCATGGTGCAGACCGCCCAGGGTAAGCCCTGCAGGTGCTCTCCTCTTCCAAAGGTCAAGGCTGTCTGACTGCTGCTGCCTTCTCTTTGGGGTCCCAGGAGTGCTGTCCACTGAGCAGGGAAAAGGCTATCGCCTGAAGGACAGCCTAGACAGGGCAAAGCCTTGCCAGGACACAGAAGGTTTAAGGAATCGGAGGCCTCAAGCTCCCTCATCCTTCCAAGAAAGCCATTTCAGTTTCCAGATTCTCCCTTGAGTGCCAGCTTCTGCCAGGCCAACCCTCCACACAGTGGGTTCACAGAAATCCACACCAAGTTTTCTGAGCCGGTAGGCGTTAAGACTCCGTCCTGCTGGGACAGCGGAGTCCTCTGAGATAGAGAATGTGTCCATGTCAGCAGACAGACTTACAGCTTGCCAGGAAAGAACCAGGGTGAGGGTGGGGAGCAACAGGAAGACTCGGTAGGTCAGCAGAACTCGCTTAGGCACACTCATTGGGCCGTGACAGCTTTGAACTAGGCCAGGGAAGAGCTTGAGGACCAGGGAGACCACGAGGTAACCGGGAGAGCCCTGAGAGTCCAGACCTTTTGGACCAATCGGGCCCATTGTAGTACCGCCCACATCTCTTTAGTCTCCGCCCTGCGAGAATCTCCGCCCTCTGCCGGAAGCTCGGCGGTCGATCGCGCCGCCTGGGCTCTCCGCGTTCTTCCAGCGCTGCCTTTCTGGTAGCCACGTGGGCTGCGGGGCGATGGCGGCGCTGGTTGTGTCCGAGACCGCTGGGGCAGGAAGCCGAGTCGGCCCCGGCAGAGGTGGGTGCAGCAACGCTGTGGCCTTCAGACCTCGCGTCCCTGTGGGTCCCAGGTCACGGACAGGGAGGGAGCAGACTCCTTTCTCCCCGGGTCGCGAGAGCCTCACGCTGTTCCGAGTCCTACCGCTCTCTCTCTCGGGAAGAGAAGAGCTGCCCCTCCTGGGAGTTGATCAAGGCGAAACGACACCCTGTCTGGGCCAGCAGACAGACCCCCCCAAAGTGACGGACGGGCAGATCCGATGGGAGGGAAGGAACCATGACGCGTTTCACAAGTGGACTTGGAGGGGACGCTTTTATTTATGCGAAGAGGAGCTTGTTATCCTTCACCAGGCGGCCCCTAAATGTCAGCCCTGTGCTAGGTGTAGGGACCAGAGTCCCTGGCCCAAGGGTCTCTACTCACCTGGGGGGGGCGGGGATCCCGATTCAGACAGAAGGTGACAACCTTGATAAAGGAGGAGGCGCCTACTGCTCTTCATGCTAACACCTGCTGTATACCCAAAACACCACAGGAGATTTGTACCTGTCTAAGATCCTGCAGGGAAGCCAGCGAGTCTGAGCTTGCTGTCCAAGGCCATGAAAACAACTGAGCAAACGCCCCAACAGTGGTAATATTCAAATGTGATCCCAGGACTCCAGCCTTTCAGGCTATAGAGTTCTTCAGCGCACCCCTCCACCTCAGTAGATGAAAGCACAGGTTCGGGAGGCTCCCTCCTGTCTTAGAGGCCCGAGCCGAAAGAAGTTCTCAAACATAATAGAGGCTCTGCAGGTACAAGACGAGTAATTTTTTTGTCTTTTCACATCTCCAAACTTTCTGGCTCCTCGTGAGATACCATGTTGAGGAGAGTAGGTTTTCCAGGATAAGGCCTTCCTGGAGAGCCTCGGTTTTTGTTTTGTTTTGTTTTTTTTTTTTTTTTGGCTTTTCTAGACAGGGTTTCTCAGTGTAGCCCTGACTGTTCTGGAACTCTCTCAGGCTGGCCTGGAACTCAGAGATATGCCTGCCTCTGCCTTCTGAGTGCTAACATCAAAGGCGTGTTGCCACCACTGTGTGGCTCAGTATTTTTTTCAAACCAGAAAATGAATTAAAAAGTTGTTTTTACATCTTCATGTATTTATTTTACATTATTGACACTTATTTGACGTGTGTGCCGCAGTGCCTATGGGGCTTGAAGGATAACTAGCCCGAGTCGGTTTTCTCCATCTGGGGCTGGGGATGGAGGTGTGAAGCACTAAGCTATTTTGCTGACCAGTATTTTCTTTTTTGTTCAAGGGCTCATTTGTATGCCCCTCTGCCCAGGCTGAAGTGTTAACTTCTAAGGTGTAAGGTCACCTTCTGTCCTTTTCAGCGTGTCCACTGGTGTACTGGAGCGTGTTCTTTCTGACCTTCCTAGGTGGAACATAAGGGCTATGGACTAAGGAACTTGTTGAATCAATTCAATATATGGTACTTAATTTCCTTAAGTTAAAAAGGGGGGGTGGGGAGCTGGAGAGATGGCTCAGTAGTTAAGAGCGCTCTCTGTTCTTCCAAAGGACCCAGGTTCAATTCCCAGCACC